GACGAGATAGACCGACTTCGTGGTGTTCCCATGTCGATCATTTCAGACCGAGATGCACGGTTCACTTCTAGATTTTGGAACAGTTTGAAGAGCGCGACGGGGATGAGGCTGGAGTTTAGCATAACCTATCATCCTCAAACGGACGGGCAGTCGGAACGAACGACCAAGACACTCGAGGACTTGTTGATCAGGTCTTGTGTTCTGGATCGAGGTACCTCGTGGGAGGAGTTGTTGTCACTTGTAGAGTTCGCCTCTTACAACAGTTATCAGGCGATGATTCAGATGACACCGTACGAGGCCTTGTATGGACGCAAGTGTAGGTCTCCGTCGTGTTGGGACGAAGTCGGCGGGAGGATGATTCTCGGTCCCAAGATAATAATTTAAGAAGACAGTTGAGCAGGTGGATGAGATCTGAGCGAGGATCAAAGCAACACAAGATCGGCAGAAGTCCTATGCAGACCAACGAAGAAAGGATATGCAGTTCGAGATAGACGACAACGTTCGAAAGTATGTTGGACTAATGGTTCAGCCGATCTAATATAACTACCATCCTAATAATGCGATTAATTGAAATATAATAATTCACGTTAAATATTTTCCTGGTATTTTAAGGTGAAAAAGGGGGGAAAAAATGAACTAACATCTTCAAGAAATAAAGTGAATCATTTATTTACTTGAAAAAGGAAATAGAAAATATTACATACAACATGCAGAATATAACAACTCATGTGATAACAACGTCTTAACGAAGTTTGACCCATTAATCCTCCACGTAAATCATAATTTTTAAAAACAACAAAAATAAATTAATAAAAAGAGACAAAATATATATTAAAAACAAAAAAAAAATTCAAACATGTTGCTTGTAAGTATATAATAATCACTATAAATATTGAACCAAAAAAATTTAGCTTACCTAAGAGCACAAGTCAACTCTAATGGGACCTCTGATCATATTCATATAATCATTAGACTTTTGGTCAATTGTTAAACCAATCAAATCAATGGGACCATTTAATTTAGAAGCCCTGCCGTGATAGGTGATTGCTACCCCCAAATCCCAGTAATACGTTGTCATTTCAATTTTCTAATTCTCATGCAATTGCCAATTTGCTTCTAAAATTTAATTATTAAAATTAAAACTGGAGATGATGTTACGGTTCCGTTACATAATCATTCCGTCAGATTTGTAACCGTTAGATCATCATATAACCGTCGGATAGTTGATCTAACAGTTACAAATCCTAATGGAATGATTCCGTAGCGTGACCGTAGCATTTCCCTATTAAAACTACACATGCATATTATATTATATAGCCTGGCCAAGTAAGACTAAAATTATGTTTTCTTAATTTTTTCCCCTTTTCTTCTGTCTTTTTGCCTATGTAGGTTGTACACAATAGTTCTTTTTAAATAAAATTCAGCAAATTTTTTAATAAGCACTTGATCTAATCAGTCTTCTCAAAACATACAATTTTCAAAAGTCATGCATGGTGTCTGAATTTTGGAAATTTTACCAACTAAAAAGAAGAGGTAATTTATGGTATTTTTCTTAATAAACAAATTTATATAACCAGAATTTTATTTAAATCGAATATTAATTTCGTGAAAATACAGCTCGGTTCAGCTCGTGAAAGCTCAAAAATCGGCCAAGTAAGAACAATTAATTGAAGATCTTTTAAATAAAAAAACCGGTCTGGCGACGGCGTAGCCACGGTTAGGGGTCGTCCTTGACCACCCGGCTCACCCTTGACGAAGCGCTCCTTCGATGTTGTTATTGATTGTTCGCGATTGGAGGTCTGTTACTCGGTTTCTGATGGGATTTTGGATGGTGGTGGCGTCCATCGCGGTCGGAGTTTGGCCTGAGATTGAGGTCTTCTCCTTAGTCGTCGGTAGAGCTCCGATTTGTGGCGGTAAGACCATCTATCTTCACCTAGTCAGTGATTGTAGTGCTTGGTTTTTTTTCCTGCGGGATTTCACCTCTTCGGGTGGGGCGTGGGCCTCTGGTGGTGTCGGGTAGAGCATGAGTCTTTCGGGTGGGGCGGGACAACGGTTGCTGCGGCGGTCGGGGTTGCGGGACCGAGCCACCCTCACTCTCCTCTGCTCGGCTATTGGTGTTAGGCGGCGGCGGTCCTGGTTCTCTCGAGCTCGGCTAGTAGTGTTAAGCGGGCTTGAGTTGGGGCGGGTCGTTTCTCTCTCGGTTGGTGACGTGTCGATTCGGGAGTTGGTTCGGGGCTAAGCTTTGGCTATTGTATAGGCGTTTGTGCAGTTTCGGTAACGATTTCTCAGGCTTGGAATCTTTCTTCTGTCGATCGTTCACTGCTGGTTGGGCCCGTTCGTTTGCTGGGGAAGGGCTATCTGTGCTTATTTTAGTTCTTTATTGTTCCTGTTTTTTGTAATTTGTGTCTGTGTTTGTGTTTGTAATTGTGTTTTAGGTTTGGGCCGTTGGCCTCGGTTAGCCCGAGTGTGACCTTATTATTCTGTTGGGATCGTACTCTCGGGCATTACCCTGTTGGTGTCGTTTTTTTCTCTTTCTCCTCTTGGGAGTTCCTTAGTGTCCTTGTGGTTTTTTTGTGTTTCTAGAGTATTACTCTTTTGGGGTCAGTTCTAGGTAATTTTCTGATATGTCCTCCCAATTTATTCAGCTATTGGCTGTTTGAATTCAGTTTGTTGGTTGTTTGTATTCAGCTTGTGGTTGTATTTTGCACATTTGTCAATATCTCTCTCGTTTAGAAAAAAAATAAAAATAAAAATTGAGCTTTTTGATTGAACCAACCAATTCCACCTCAACCAACAAATCGAATTTGTTTATGTTTTATTTTCTATAGGGCTCAGAATGAACAGCCGAACAGAATATATATATGTATGTATGAAAACGCATAAATTGTATTTTTGAACAACTCGAGTATATATAATTTTGAATTTGTTAAACGGCAAATTCAAGTTAAATCCCCCCTCTTATAATGAACTTCCAGTTCAGTCCCCTTGCAAATAAAGTTCCACTGCACTCCCTTCCCTTAATTTACGTTTTCCATTTGACTCCCCCTATATAAAGTTATGTTATTATTATTCATTTAATTTTTTTTGCCTTTAATTCATTTTAAGTCTCTCTCTCTCTTCGTCCCCTTCTCTTCCATCTCTCTCCATCCATCTCTGCTCTCTCTCTATTTGATTTCGTCGCCATCCATCTCTGCTCTCTCTGTTCGTTCGTCGGCATCGCCATCGCCATCCCCTTCTCTGCTCTCTCTTTGTTCATCAACATCGCCTTCCATCTTCGTCTCTCTCTCTCTCTCTGTCACTCCCGTTCGCATCTCTGAGAAGACATGATCAGTTCCAAAAAAAAATCTACATGCAAACCATCCTCATCGACACCCACGAAGGCATTACCGAGCTCAAAGGTAATTTATGATATTTGGGCTTTGTTCATAATTTTAGGGTTTTATTTCAATTTAGATGTTGAATTCGAAAATTAGGATTTTTTTAATTTAGGGCTGAATTTGAAATTAGGGTCTATAACAGTAAACAAGGTAAGATTTTGGAGAGTTTTTTCAATAATTTTGAATTTTTATTGAATTCGAAATTTGGGGATTTTTTTTCAAAAATTTGGATATTTTTTTGAATTCGAAAATCTTCAAAATTTAGTATTTGGTTGGTGCTAATGAACTTTGAATTTGATTTTTATGTCAACAATTAAGAATTTTATTGATAAATTATAACTCTTTGCATGCCTAGGGTTTATATGAATTAGGGCTCAATTAGGGCTAAATTAGTTAAGCATCTTCCTAATTTGTATTAATTAGGGCTCAATTAGTTAAGCATGTTCCAAATTTTATTATTTTTTTTTTTAATTTTGTATTGATTGTTCAGTGTTCAATTAGTTAAGCATTTGCTGGTTTGGTTGCTATATAGTTAAGCATCTGCTGGTTTGGTTGC